TAAAATCATTAACCAAAATGTCTGATATGCAAATGTACAAGAACGAAAGGGAATTACTGTATGTCCACTATGTCTCGTAGTCTAATGGGATAAACATGCCAAACCGCTGGTTTAGAAGCTCCAAATCACTAAACCACAGCCCATAATTAAAGATGTCCTCCTCACCGCCCAGCCGACCCTCCGTGGATCATATTTAGCCTCATTTATGCTAATAAAAACCACTCCACGGTAGCAGACAGCCCTCTGTGGGATTCCCCTTCAATCCTCTGGGGCAAACGAAGATGGCTTTATCTGCAGCTCTCATCAGAATACCAATGAGCCCATATCACACCACGCCAGCACACACACAGCACGGCTCGTCTCCCCCAGTATAAAATCAGTCCATATCTCAACTTTTGAGGAATAAAAGCGGACAGAGCCGAATCAAAGTAATCATAAAGCTTAAGAGAAGTTTTGTTAAAGGTAGTCCAAGCCTTTAATTTAAAGCTTTGACGTGCTGTCACAGAACCACAGAAACAGATCGGATCCATCAGCTTCAGGCGGACAAAACCCTTTATCAGCCGAGAGCTGTCTGACTAACTGCTGCTAAGATTTGATTATCTCGCCTGGACAGCGAGCCATCAGCCCCGACTGACTTCAGTGGTCCCACTGCACTTCTGTAACAGTTTCCAGTAGGCCTGCTGTGGTACTACTTCAATGTGTGCCACTACAGCTACTACCATTGGTTACTGTACCTATGATACCACCAATATCTGCTTTAATATAGTTGGTAATAATAAAAAACAAATAAAAAATAATAAAATAGAGTCTAAAACTATGAAGAAGTTTCACACCCCAGCTCCTCTGTGATTACTTCTTTTGAATTTGACCAAGCGGCCGCCTCTGAAGTTTAATAAGTTGGAGTTAAAAAGTGCCCGAAAGCTCCAGAATTGAGAATATATTCACAGAAATGTTGTAAGAAAAGTAAAGATCATTCCCAAAAGTGTGCTTACATTATATTAATAGAAGACAATAAGCATAAAAAAGCTGTGATGAGTATTGCTAAAGCATATAGTTAGGTCTGGATCAGGTGACCCTGAATCTTCCCTTAGTTATGCAGCAATAGGTGTTTGCTGCTGGGGGATTCCCATGATGCACTAAGTATTTCTTCTTTAGTCACCTTTCTCACTCACTATGTGTTAATAGACCTCTCTGCTGCATCACACTTCTTATTCATCTCTGTCTCTCTACCACAGCATGTCTTTCATCCTGTCTTCCTTCTCTCGCCCCAACCGGTCGCAGCAGATGGCCCCGCCCCTCCCCGAGCCTGGTTTTGCCGGAGGTTTCTTCCTGTTAAAAGGGAGTTTTTCCTTCCCACTGTCTCCAAAGTGCTTGCTCATAGGGGGTCATATGATTGTTGGGTTTTTCTCTGTATGTATTATTGTAGGGTGCACCTTACAATAGAAAGCTCCTTGAGGCAACTGTTGTTGTGATTTGGCGCAGTATAAATAAAATTTAAATAAAATTTAAATAAATTTGAACTGAATTAAATCTTTGTAAATCTTGAATTTCTCATAAATGACTGGACTCGTGTTGTGATTCTACCATATGACAAAATGCCGGCACAAATCATGGTTTAGTCGAGAATTGCCATCCATCAAAAAGTGAAAAGCAAGCAAAAACATCAAATAACAAACAAACCAATGAAAAGAGGTTCGTTAGCGCATATACAAGTCATGGAAGTTCACCAGAGGCTTCAAACCACATGTAATAACCGGCAGGAAATCACTTGGATCAAATAAGATAAGATTATTTCCATAATCCCAGTGAGAGATGACATCCCTAATATAGTCATTTCACACGCACGGCTCCGGGTGTAAGTACAGATGCTCCACCCACCAGCTTTGTTTACGAGGGGCAGCCAATCAGAAGTAAGTTGGCTATAAAAGGATGAACTGTGAATTATGCAAAGCGCTGATAGTGGAGTAGCCCAAGAATAACAAAGTCGAGCTGGAAATCAACATAATAAGGCACCTCGGAGACAAGCTTAAGATCAAAATCGATCTGAAGTCTGTTTCATAAATGAGTGGAGCGGCTCAGCAGACAGATGAAATTGGGGTTGTACTGGGAACCAGATTGCAATCAGTGAAACGGAGTACAAGGAGGTATTTTAGAAAAACAAACCGCCACAGTATATAAAATTCCAAAGGAGAAAAAATGCTGATATACTCACTAAATGCTAATATCCTTTTACTGCATCTATTTGTCTCTAATAATGCTGCAGTCCACCTCCTGCTGCCGTTACACCTCCTTCTGCCCTTTAATATGTATGGTACTTCAGAGTTGCACTGAGACGTTTTCAAAATGTTTTTTTGTTCTGCAGCCCTCCTTTGTATCTGCAAGATACTTACTTTCACACAAAGGCAAAAAAAAAGGCGCATGCCATGAGAGGAATCATGTGCCTAAAGCTGCTCAGTTAATCAGGAAAGCCACTCATTTTAGAATTAACATTTCTGTGACTCACAATAGAAGCTCAAACTTAGTATGAGCATTGAATTAGCTTGTCAGTTTGAATCTGTGTGAAAGGGCCTTTCAACTGTACTGCTGGGAAGCCGTTTTTATTGCTACAACTGCTAATCTCGCTCGTGACTTGGAAAACAAGAAAAATCCCAATATTCTTTATTTTGGAACGACATATGCATGCGTATAAATAAAGTGGCATCTTTACAGTAGCACAAAGAGCCAAATTCCTTTGGTTTGCTTCTGGGTGTGTCTCAGCAGATAGATGAGGCACATCCTCTGGGACCTGTGGGACAGTCCCAGAGAAGGCTTCGATATGGGCAGGGCGGTGGAGAGGCGGAACAGGGAGGTCTGCAGATGTGGGCTCAGAGATAAGCGGCAAAGCTTGGGTAACAGGATAATGGCTTCCTGTTTGAATTTGAATTGTTTGTCAGCTTACAGCAGCTTTGAACGGGGACGCGTTTATCTGAAAATCTGGTGGAGAGAGAATGCGAAAACAAGAACAACAAAGGGTCCTTTTGCTGTTTACTGGGATAATGATTTAGCTTCGTCGAGTGTGACAGCAGCACCGCACCTGACAGGAAGACGAGAGATTAAACAGGAAGTTGTCTGGAATCTGGGCGGAGCGCTGAGCAGCAAATCTGCAATTACACAGAGTCACAGACGCTGACAGCGTCTTCGAGAGAATTTTGGCATATTCACTTTGATAGTGGCTTTATAAAGATGACAAAGTATCCAACAGCACGTTTCAAAAATACAAGACAAGAAGAAGTCAGATGGGAAGATTTCTCAAGCCCTGTGTACTCATTTACACATTGCTCCAACTGGCCTTTTCAAATTTTTATTTATTCTAGCTTTGGAGGCAAAAACTCAATTTCCTAAAACAAATTGTGACACTCACTGTCCCGTTATAATATGGGATCATCTGTCCCAGTTCTTCTCTATCTGAAGCATCCCTGTTCATGCCTGCAGCCTTGAGATGTTAAGGCACATCTGTCTCTAGCAGATGGCTCATCCAGAGAGAGAAATGAGAAACAGATACAGGTGGGTCTCTCGTTTCTGCACACTTGATTGGGGAAACTAATGGAAAAGTTGTGCGCCCGAGGAAATTCAGGACTGGACTGGATCTCCAACTGAATGCATGACAGCAAACTGAGCTTTAGATTTACCAGGACAAATTCAAAAATAAAATCCACACAAACCTAGTCGGCAACTTCAACTCAAACTTCTCCTTTTCAGGTTAAACGGCTGCAGGGTGACCTCCCTCCACCTCTGCACCAGCTTAAAGCACTCAGCTCACAGCGGTCTAGTCCAAGTTTATCACTTCTGAGGGATTGAGACAGACTTGTCAGACAGCCTTGGGCTCCAGCGCCCTGAGGTGGAGCTTGGGGGTGAATACCAGATATCATCAGCCCTTTCAGCTAACAGTCCTGGAGCCTGGTGGGTTTCAGTGTGACCAACATGTTCCATATTCATGTGACATTCTGCGGCGGTAGCCTGCCAGAACTTTGTACATCGGGCCTTTATTCTATCCTGTGAATTTAAAACAGCACGGACCTAAACTGACAATAACGGGGGGTCCAGCACTGTATGTACAGCATCTGATGTCCACAAACAGGGGATCCCTGACGGAATGGCCTTCAGCTATAGAGGAATTTATATAAATAATTTTCTTTTCTTTTAGAAGATAAGTTGCCAAGAGACGCAAGACTTAAAGTTAGAGAAATTATGAAAACACTGGAATAATTTACTGGCAAACGATGAAGAAAGCTGCATTCTGGTAATTACCACATTACAACAGCTAACATCTGGAAAACTTAGATTTTCTCTGAACACTCCAATATAACCAATTTGGGAATAGCAGCATAGATATAAACTGTATATCAAAGATGGACGTAGCCCCCTTGACATTAACTGTTGGTTAGTGAATTCGAGTTTTAAGGATTTTTATTTTGTAAATTCGCATTTGCTAAATTGTCTACAAGTCCACATTTGGATGCTACTTGGTGGTAGGATATAAATATTCAAAATGATATTTTGAATGCTATTTTAATTAAAAAGGTTCCAAAAGCAAAAATATAGTGAAGAAGTCAAATTCAGTCACTTGAGCGGTGATGTGACTGAGCAGAGAGCTAGTGGCTATACCCCTCTGTACTTAATAGAGGCTGTAAAGCTTTGATACACTTTCAATAAATTAGTCTTTTTGTGAACATTCAATGTCCATTGAAAATGTTAACATTGGGAGTCTATAGGGAGAGCCTCTAGTGCCCACTCAAGCAAGTGCAGCTTTAAAATGGCTTAATTTTTCAGTCCTCTAGGTTAATGCTTGACTCTAAACCATTTTTTGCTTTCATTTTATCTTCACCTCTATGTTTCTATGTTAATGCTCCATATAAATCAAGCATGATAAAGCTGCAAACCAACCAAGCTTTCTGTTTTGCATGTGAAACGTCGACTGGCTTGCTGGGCCTCCATTTTAACCCCCCACAGGCTTTACTCACTCAGCAGCTGGCAGCGCAGGACCTGTAGGCTTGTCTTCATGGTATCATGTGATCCGGCTCCTCCTCCACAGTGCTCATGGTTCTCTGAGAGAAACACAGCAAAAAGAAAGCAAGGTGAGATGAAACTCAGGGCTTGGATATCAACTCGCATTTAAATGATCGTTAAACGCCAGTGTGATAAACCGTGACTATGTATGGAACGCTTTTAGCAGAACAGACAGGGGAAAGGACGAGATCGCAGACAACATCGTCCAGCTTAACCTTGACAGCTTAATCCTTGTAATGACTGCCACCCAGCAGTTACACCTGTGAGAGCAAATGAATTACATATTTCACAAATCCAGGTAGGACTGCAGTGGTGGTCAGCCTCAATGGTCGGGCTTCAAATCAGCATTGGCATCCTGCAGGCTGTGCTGGTCAGTAAAACCAATTATGGGGCATTAAACATTGACCAGTGAGCCTTGTTCTGAGACAGCCACTGCGTGTGTGTCAGCGAGACCAGTACCCAAGGGCGCTCTTTAGGAGAATGACTCACTGATGGCCTTCTGCTAAATAAAAGGCCATATACACACACATATCTCTATTCACCCCCGGAGGAGTGTGCATGTGTTCATGTTTGCCTCCTTTTGTGGATATGCCCCCTCCAGGTTTAGAGCTCTGCTTGCGGGCAACCTGTGCTTCTGTGGGAGACGTGTGAGATAAGAGGGACAGATAACAAAAGCACACTTTATTTCCCATAAATGTAGTCCCACTCAGAGAAATGAAAAGAGACAACACATTACATCTGAGTCATCCAGTTTATCGCTGTCACTGGAGAACATTTTAATGCTTGTAAACTAGTAGAGACCATAAATCTGAATGCAACCTTAAGCAATTTTATAATTTATTAAAAAGACTGTTAAGTAACAGGTAAGGAAGCAACAGATACATAAAATAACAGATACATAGATGGATGTTCTTTGTAATATATTATATGACATTCAAATATTTAAATTGCATTACAGCTGTGTTGCTAGAAGGATGCTTATATTGATTGACAGCCGGGTGCTGCTAGCTGTCTGCTAGGCTAGCAAACAGCTAGCAGGTGTAATATCTTAACTGTGTTTGTTGGTGTCATTTTGAGTCTTTTTAATGCAATTATCTGACAAATAGCATGGTTTACCTTGCAGTCACTGTTGCTAACAGACTGTTTAAGAAGTCTGTGCTTCAGTTTTATTTGATTATTGTATTAACTAGCGTCAGTTAGCAGATGTGATGCACCTGTATAGATGGACACAGCTTGCTAACCAAGCCTGCTAGTGTTAGCTAAACATTAGCAGGAACAACATTTACAGAAACAATCCTAAACAAGAGAAATCAATGGCTGGAGCAGTATGGCTAAAGTTTTAAATAGAGCCTATATGTGGGATCAGAAAATAAATATATATTGTAAAACATACACCCTTAGCATTAGTACTCCAGTACTGTTAAGAGACTGGAGGATTAAGAGTAGCTCCTGCAGGTACAACTGCCAGACACAAAACGTGGCAGGAAAATGTAACTTGTTAAATTTAACAAGGGGAAGTCATAAACACGAAATAATGGAGACAAGCTTCTATCAAATTACAAACGAGGAAAACAACTGCAAAACTGTAATTCTCCCGGCTCTATTTCCATGTTACAAAAGACAAACATAGACTAAAACGACGGGTAAAAGGAACATAATAAAATACGCAACTAAACAGGCTATCGTGACACATCATTAGATGACAGACTCTCAATTTTGCTCTCTTTGCTCTCAATGTTTAGAAAATAAAGACGTTCGCTGCTTCACTGCTCTTAACTCACAGCTTTGACTATAATGATATGAGCTTGGTTGTAATGGGCTGCAAGAATACAGTAGTAGAAGCAGCAGCAGCAGCAGAAAATGAGTTTTTCAGATATACACGTATGAAGAAATGGAACTAGCTACAACAGTCCCAAACCCATCTTCACTTTCATATGACCATGAGGATGCTGAGATGATAGCATCTCACCACCATAGCTCCCTCATGTGCTTTAATTTGTTAGCGTCACGTTCCCGGCCTAATGAGCTCAATGGAAAGGTGCAAAGACAGCAGCTGAGCCTCTCTACATTAATTACGCTTCATCAGTGCTGCCAAACCGGTGCAGACTCATATTGGTGATCCTTAACTTGCAAGGCACAAGTAGTGAGGCTATGGGTAGGCGGATGGAGGAGACAAGATAATGCCAGGTGGTGTTTCATGTATACTAGTCATCACAGGGGAAAGGAAGTTTTCGTTGAAATGCGATTCAGCTCTTCTGGCCTCCTGTTGTGGAGCTGGCTCATGGTTCAGCTCTGTGCACACCAGCAGGTAAAAGATAATAGCGCATGACAGTCAAGGTCACGGCACTGCCAAAAATCCCAGACAGGATGAGAGGTTCATTGGGAGCTGTTGACAGATTTGATGCTTAACACTCGTTCACCAACCTGGATTCAATATCACTACCTCAGACTTCTTTGCAGCTGGGATTAGAAGGGATTGCAGGGTGGCTGTAAGTCACAAATGCAAGCAAAAAAACAAAAAACATCTGTTTGCAGAATACAGTATGCTTAAGAAAGCATGTCTGGTTTAAATCACTCTTTAATTAATTCAAGAACCAAATAATGGGGCAAACTAGAGCAGCAATCAGTGACAACAGCCATGATTTTGGTCAGTGAGTCTCTGCATGAAAGAAGTAGCTGGGATGGAGGTGGGTTACAAAATGGCTTGCAACAACTGTAGGCACATCATAGATTAGATGTGTAATGTGGGTATGCAGAAAGGTTTGGCACAGAGAACATAGCTACAAGCAGCGCTCTCTGCTGTGTCAATCATTGGCCCAGTCCAAACCCAACTCTGTAGCTTATTTTTGTATTTTTACTTAAAGCAATACTGAAAGCCACATAAAGGATGGATGTACATTCTGGGGTCTAAAAAGCGAAGACAGTGGAGAAGAGCCTTAAAGCCTGGACTTTTTCTAACAGGTGGTGACTCCACTGGTTGCAAAACGGCTGAAAATGAACCTAATCCTCACTTGACATATTGTCATGGTCCTGGGTCATTTTGACCCAGCGTTCTTAGTTTTCTTGTGTTTTTGTATTCATTCTATGGTTTCCTAGGTTGTTTAGTTTTTTGCATTTCCTTTCGTGTCTCTGCCCTCTATGTGTATCTGTTTTTATGGTGAGTTCTTGTGCCATCTTGTTTTCTCCAGACTTGTTTTCTCTCTCTCTCTCTCTTTTTCCAGTCTACCTCTTCGTGTACTTCCTGTTTTACTTTGAAGGTCGGTGAGTTCAGTTTTGTGTTCTCCCTGTCTCGTCGGTGTAATCAGCGTCAGCTGTGTCTCCCAGCTGTTTCCTCTCAGTCCTGATCTCCTCTTGTATTTAGTGTCTGCGTCTTCCCCTGCTCGTCGTTGCATCGCTAACAACACACTTTAAGATAAGATAAGATAAGATAACCTTTATTAGTCCCACACGTGGGAAATTTGTTTTGTCACAGCAGGAAGTGGACAGTGCAAAAGTTATGAGGCAAAAGTTAGGGTCCTAACTCCTTGTAAGTACTGCAAGTAGGGACCTTGATGTGAAGCATGTTTTCATCGGTTTATGAAAAATGCCTCTCCACGTGCATCTGATAAGCAACATCCATTCCCAGTATAAAAACCCAGTGTCCTAAACTGGTGAAATTGGGGGAAACATACAATCTTTGTCCAACTCTCAACAAATAAAAAGCATATCAACAAAAACAATTCACTGATATACACTGGGATCTTTGCACATAGCCACCTAGCTATGTGCTTCCTCTGAAGAGGGAAAAAAGTTGCATGGCAACTGACATGCACACAGCCATCACCATAGCAACCCTAATGGTAGATTATATTGAAATTCATTCACAAGGACATTTTTTTGGCTCAAACACAATTGGGAAAAATGTTAAAAGAGTCAGATTTGGAAATTCTCACTCACCACAGGTAGAATGAGAAATCCAGTAGCAACCTGCTTGTCTCTGGGACTCTGCTTTGTGCTTGCAGCCCTGCTGACAGGGCCAGGTCTGAATAGTGTGTCTGGAGGGGGTACAGACTAGAGGCCAAAGCCAAGGTCACCCGAGACGGCACAATGAAATAAACCTGTCACTCTGTTGCACTGTGGCCACCAGCCGCAGGGATAACAATGCTTTTAATTTTGGACTTCCCTCGATTCTGCGGTTATGTATAGGGGCTGTGATAGCAGGCTGGCTGCTTGCCCACAGTGGCTGCAGCCTGGCAGCTTTTCCACAACACGAGGAGGGAGGGATGAGGAGGAGGAGAGGGAGGGAGGGAGGGAAGTGTGGGAGTCGATGATGATGGTGTGAACCACACTGTTGGGCTCTCTCAGACAACTGATAACAGGACTTCCAATCACAACTCTTCTAACTGATGCCTTTTTTGTCCCTCCAGTTTTGATGCTACACCCTCACGGTTTGGGTTATCTCTTTGTTGTGAACTGCAGGGAGCTTTCACACAGCTTCTGCTCAGGAAAGAGATACAAACACTAAATGTGGAAGCTGTGGTTTGAGGATAGGTAGATAGATAGGTAGATAGGTAGATAGATAGATAGATAGATAGATAGGTAGATAGATAGGTAGATAGGTAGATAGATAGATAGATAGATAGGTAGATAGATAGATAGGTAGATAGGTAGATAGATAGATAGATAGATAGATAGATAGATAGATAGATAGATAGATAGATAGATAGATAGATAGATAGATAGATAGATAGATAGATAGATAG